CCAAATCTTGTGTGTTCAGATAAGACATTTATGAATGTTTGAAGTTTGGGAGGAAAGATTGGTTTATCCTTTCAGCAGATTAATATTTCATGTTCTCAGAAAGATATTATATGTATACCTATCTCCAATGTCATTTTAACATCACCTATAGTGAAAGATGACAAGCGTAGGGATGGGGTTAAAAAGGTGTCTCCATGATCCTACATTTATATTTCCACACATAAATTCTGAAAATACTTTTCTCATCTTAAGTGCTCAGGAATAATTTGAAGCCGAGACAAGGTGACTGAAAACGGTTTTGATACAAAGTGACCTTGTGTGCGAAGGTATCATACAACATGGTATATCGTAGATGCCAATACAGACAATCTGGCCATCCTAATTTGGCACATGTCGTAATAGTTTACACCTGCACCTCTCCTGCATTGATTGCTCGCGTGGCAGGCGTAGCTTCTGAACTCCGCGGAGAATTACGCACACATCTGAGGAATCAATTAAATTAAAATTAGAGACGACGAAGCAAGCATGCATACATGCATGCTGACTCAACTGAAAGAGACAATGTTTGTGCTCTCCTCTCGCAAGTCAACTAATTGTCTGTTTCACTCTCGTTCTTAATGACCCTTAACGTATATTTCAATTGTGACTCTATTTCCCGTTAATTCATCCCCGGATTAGATACAATCTCGGGGCATACGCTATCAACTTCAAATATTGTTTCATGGCTCTGCTTGCTGCGACCTTATTACCAGTTTGTCAAAAGACAGATAATTAGCTTACCAGCAATTCTTACACGAGGTATCATCTTTTGAAAATTGAAGATATTATATTGGCATTTTGTTGTTGCCTCTCTCATTATGTTCATGCTATATCCTGCCATTTATTCACCTCTGCTATTACCGAACATAAACTATACTTTCCCATCATTTTTTTAATAACCTATCTCTTCATGGGTTTTATATCTCTGTATATCATATTTTTTTTGGATTTCATAGGGGCTCCATTTAATTTGCTATCTTTTTTTTTATTGCAAATTCAAGGGGGATCTAATGGGGCAAACTGATCAAAAAGATTAGATTAGATAGGGCATTTTGTCAAAAGGATAATAAAAAAATTGTGGTGGACTTGCATGTGAGGAGGGTAAAGGTTTGGGCTTGATTGTTGTCAATTTCACAAGTCTTGCTCTTTCTCAATAATTACTATTAATACGAGATAGTGCATACCTTGCTTAATTAATGTTTTTACAGCCACAGTAATCTTTTGTAACAAAGTTTAATAATATAACCAGCTTTATTTAATTGTTTTCATAGTTTTTCAGAAAAAGTCTGAATAAGACCTGTAGGCAGTTGTAATATTATGGTTATTTAAATCAAAATCAACGAATAAATTATTGAAAACTACATAAAATGCATCAAAATTTTGGTGGGAATAATTGTGGAGTTTAATTTAGGGTTAATTACTTACATACAATATAGGTTGATTGATGTATTTTGGGGGCTGGGTTTATTTAAAGTGAAGATTTTTTGTTGGATTAGTTGTCCTCCCCATTCCCTGAATACCCCCCCCCCAAAAAAAAAATATCAGAAACTCAGTAACAGTGTGTGACAGAGAATGTTTAGTGATGCGTGCCGGAGTTGAAAGTTAGCGACTTTGTTAGTGAAAGATAATCAGATGACACCAAGTTGACAGCTTCGTTTCAATACGCTGTAGATAAGGTGTGAAAGCACCGCTAATAAATTTAACCTATAATTAGTTTAGTTCAAATGTCATTCCTGGGAGCCAGTCACCTGAGAATGGCCTGGCTGATATCCTACCTACCTAGGGTATAATATCAAAATGAAATAATGGTGTTAATTACATTTTTAGAGTGGCATCTAATGACCGTCTTGGGTCATCACAGTGAAATACTGTCTCAGCTTTCTTGTATGCTCTTCATCAACTCCAGCAAATTAAATTTCCCGTTGGTTATTAATTGATGAGTGATGAAATCGTTCATATTATGCGAATACGATGCGACATCCAAAGTGCTTGAGCGTACTCTTGGCAACACTAGAGACCTGACTCTGAGGCTTTGTCTCGTATTGATTCAAACCAATTTTTTTTTTTTTTTTGATGCTGCGAATTCAATTTATTCCTTGTTAGAGCTGACATACTACTTTGGCATTTTAAAATGATGATATGGATTGCTTAGCCTTCAACAAAAATCTTTTCGCTAGTTATCAGCTGTGCCGGCCGTTATTTCCTAACATTTTAAGCGCAGGAAGCAAATTACTAATAAGTTTTATGTATTATTGCTGCACACCACCAAATCACCAAACACTTCTACTGTACTGTAGGCTATGACATGTTCACTAGCTGATAACTTAACTGCATTCACCTGATTTTATGAGGCTTACTGTGATCTCTGTCTGAAGGCGTGTACCCTACTGTAATGGGTCTTACACGTAAATGACCGTCGTGAACATGAAAGTACCACAAGATTTAGTTTTAATCTTTCAATTTGCATTCCATCTCCTGTCATCACGTTCACTGTTCCCCTAAACTACAGTAGGTAATGATGGTATTTTTCACATGGTTCTCTCGCTTTCAACAAAATCCCTTACATACCTGTGTTAGATTTGCCAGATTCCTGATCATTTAAGCTACATTATTCAAGTGTTCTATAGAATAATGGATTGTTGAACTCGGAAATCCATGACTACTATATTAATTTGTTTTTCTTTTTTTCCAGTTGATGGTTTACTTTATCTGTGGGGCAAGAACAGCCACACTCTGAGTCCAGAAAAACCAACATCTTATAAAGAGTATCGCCCTATGCAAGTAAACACAGGTGGTTATCACATTAGCCAATTGGCATGCGGCTCGTGGCACGCTATGTCAATTGCCGGCATACCCGGTAAGTATATGCTGAAAAAATGTATTCATTATTAAAAACTGATTTTTTTTTAGATTATTTTGATTGTAAAAACTTTTTGATCGTTTAACTACATAATACCTTTTATTTTTGGAGCGTATATGAAAATGTTGGTGTGTTGAAGCATATGTTCTCCTCGTCAGTTTGATTCAACAGCATCAATACCTGACAGTGTGTATCTCTTCTCGCCTTCCCACTTAAATTATTTCACTACCGATGATAGCACCAATCAACCAACACTTTGTTGGATAAAAAAAAATAAAGTTTATAGAGAACTGAAATACCATACTGGTAATATCAGATTGTTTATTAAACCCTGAGTTAAGCCGTCTGTGGAATGTGGATGGCAGGTGTAGAGTACGGTATGTCACTCCGTCCCCTACAAAACCATAAATAATGCAGATACAACAAATTGATATATCTCTGTAACATGAAACCTTACAATCGCCTACAGTTGAGGAGATGAGATATAACATTAAAGTCCTGATTCATCGTCGATTGCACTGATAGCAGTGTGTCGGAACTCAGTCATGATAGCTTTAGCTCTCAGGGTTTCTTTTGTTAACTTTGCAGGCATTTTGGAATCTCTCCATGTCATACATCATAACCATCAATTGTCTCTCGATGAGACGTGCCAGACGAAACAACTGTAGCATAACAAGTCATTAAACTCACCATCGAGGGATTTGTCCGTAGATAGCTAAAGATATAGAGGGGAGGGAGGGAGGGGGGATATTGAAAATGTCTGTATTCCAAAGAGATGAATTATATCCTTCCTTTTGACTTGCATTAGTAATAAAAACCCAACGGGTACGAGAAGAGTAATGATGTTATCAATACAAGCTGGCAGATTGCTTAGATGAGCTTGGCTGGTTTTTATAGCCCTATGGAGCAATGTATTGATCTCATTACCTATTAATATTATGCTAGGTAGTTTTCAACTACGGCTCTGGTTTACCACATTTATGTTTGCGGCTGACATACACCCAGTTATCATCATGTGGGCAGTATTTATGGCTCGTAAATCCATTGCTATTCAAACTTTTACCCACCATTATGCTCCAAATTTTAGTTTCAGTTCTCCCCATAGTTCACCTACCAGTCACTCTTTCAGTTGTTTTAAGTACCGTCGCGTCGTGTGTTTTTTTTTCTCAATTTTGATTGAAAAGAATCTTGTTCAATAGAGCATCACTCAGCCTGTGAAAGGAGGGAATATAGGGGAGTCTGTTCTTCATGCTCCATTTGTGAAATATAGAAATGTCCAAGCTTAATCATTGTAACAAAGAAAATGCACCCATACCAGTCGGTTCCACTTGGTCAGTCCTCTTCCAAACCCTTCACTGCCTGAAGGATGTGCTATACTTGTGTCGTTTGTTTTTTTGCAAGCTTGATTGGTTTACCTGGGAAGAAAAAAAAAACGATCCAGCTCTTATAACAATCTTGATTATAAGATCTTGTCTAATAACAATTATTATAAGAGTCTCATTCTTATGACAGACTTTTATCTGTTGTGTGTCGATTTGTACAAGATCCTAAAAGAAGGGTTTGTTGATATTTACAAGGAATCAATCTTTGTGTAGCTATCTGTATATATGAACATTGCAGGGCATTACTTTTCATAAGTTTAATCAAGTAAGTATAAAAAAAATAAGCTTGAAATGGTTCGGTGCCATTTCAAACTAGCTTTCGCATGTATTTTCTGTTAGCCACAGAGAATCTGGTAGGGTTCACATGAAATTATTCACCCCCATCATTTGTGATTTGCGTTCTGTGCAATATTTTTTGAGGAATCAAGTTGAGAGTGTAAAAACAATTTTGAATGTTCTGTTAGAAAGTTTGATCGTCAACTTTGACATTTTTCAAATTGTTCGTATTCACTGGTGGTATTCATTGAGATTTGTTCATTTCATGACATTATTGCTTGTTTTGCTTTATATATTAGTAGAAATAACAACATACCTAAACAATATTCAAATTTATACATACAAGTCTGAGTACATAAAATAAACACTGGTCAAAATTGGTATTTTCGTTACCTTCTCAACTACTGTAAGCATGATTTTGTTGCTTACCAGCCTTGCTATTTTTGACTGCTTAATTACTGAAGCCAAACTGAATTATATTACTACCCCCCCTCCCAAAAAAAAAAAAAATACCGGTACTGTTTGGACAACATATTATACACAGAAAGTTGCATTTCCCATGACTTCTAATAATAGTATAATTTGTATGTATTTGTGTAAAAATATACTCAGATTGTAGATTCTGTCATTTGTATAGTTTCTTATAGCTACACTCATGCCAGTAAATAATTTCATATACTGTAAAATACTTTATTTTCGCTTGAAACTAATTTTTGCTGAAGGAATGAGTCAGTGAAAATAAAATTCAGAGAATATGCTTTTTTTCCTATATTTTTACATTCAACTCATCAAAAATCAGTGAAAATAAATTCCATACAAAACACGAAAAATGTCTTTTTAAACAAAAATTAATTCCAGCTAAAATAAAGTACTTTCCAGTAAGATATTCAAAACATGATTTGATGATAAGAATTATTAAAATGCCATCAAATACACCTGAATACATGCATCTGAATACAAAAAACAAAAATATTGACGACTGGCCACTCCCTTAAAATGCCAGCTGTTTGATCGTTGTCTTGGTAGAAACTCATTTACTTGTAGCTCTGATTTCAATGATGCTAACAAATTTTCTTCGATCAAGATAGAACTTAAGTGAAAATTGAATCCACAGAAGATAAAACAACATTGCAGTTACTGTATGCACCTGGTGTTTATTCTGATCAACGTTGATAACCTGTTTGACTTAATATTTCAGTCTGGAAGCCAAGGGAGGGCAGCACTGACACAGAAGATGACGTTGAAGATGAAAATGAGATGAAAGCTCCAATGAGCAATGCAAAAACTAAGAAAGTGAGATTATCTGAAGATGCTGATTACGAATATGAACAAGAAAATGATTCAGATTTAGAGGTATGTTTCCATTCTTAAAGTCATTTGCATAAACTTTTCCTGGAATTTGGTCACATGTTTTCATATCATCCAGAGGCTGGAAGCTGTTCAGTGAGTTTTCGTTATAACTAATGTGAAAACTTATTGTTTGCTTCCAACAGACTGAAGTCGGCAGTGAGCCAGATTTATCAAGTGACCAATCCGATGAGGAAGCTGTTCATTTGCCGCCTGAGTTTCTGAGACGATCTTTAACGTTAGCGGAGTTCTATGCCCCTACGCCACTTCCAGATCTGATCATTTCACCAAGGGATTCCCCCGTGCCTGATTCCTTACCAAAACGGAACCTATCACACGGGTCTAGTGTTGAGGACTTGCCCAAGAAATCTAAATCCCACTTTTCAACTAGTGAGGGTGAAGGATTGGAGTCTTCTACAGAGAATGCAGATAATGATGATGATGAAAAGGAGGAGCAAGAACCAAAGGAGGAAGAGGAGGAGGAGGAGGAACAACAACAACAACAACCTGCTGAGGATGAGCAAAGGCTAGATAGCTGGACATTTGAGGAAGACAAAACACCATCCCCCCAACTACTAACCCCACCTAGGTCACCAAAACCAACAATGGTGAAACCATATCCTTTGCAAAACTCGTTTGGTGCTTACATTACAAGATCCAAAACATTATATGGAGATGGCCAACGATCAAGCCAAGCCGTCCAGTTTAGTGAAATGTGTGCAGACAGGTACAGGTTACCGAGGGAACCAAGCAGTTTAACAAACGTGGATCTCTCGTTCGATTCAGATAAAAAGTTTGTTGTTAATAAACACGTCGCAATACAAACAAACAAAAAGAGATCAACTCTGCCGCTGCCACCTGACAACCCACCTCTACCAATACACCTGAACAGGCCAAAGAGGATGAATGTTTTGCGAGGTTATTCCACATTCGACGATAACTATGATTTCTATGAGCAGCTTAAAGACAGTGCTAAGATTAGCTGTCCACCATTAACAAGATCACACACTATGCACGGCAGAAGCATGCTCTCGCAGAGGTTCACAGATCAGTCTTGTCCACCCCAACCAAGTGGCGGAGATATGATAATAGAAGGTGTTGCAGCACATAGAGGAACTGACAGATCGCTGTCATTAACGCAACAATCAGAAACAAATTTTAGACGATCAAGAAAAAAGGTTTTTTCACCAACTCCTGTGTGGCAGAGTCGTAAATATGCTTCTAAGAATTTTGAGAGACAATTTTTCGACAGTTGAACTATAATAATACTTGATTATCCACAGTAGATGGTTTGAATTACAATGAGCACCATTCCAGCCTTTTTTTCATGAATAATCAAGAGATTGCCAAATGTTTTTGTTTTCATATTCAATACAAGTGATAAGTCTAGTTTGGGATTTGTAGGGGTTAATATATTTTCTTGATTGCTTTCATATTATTAAACTCTGATATGTATTCCTGCAAGAAACTGTCAGAGTTTGCCATAGCTTGCCAAGCAAGTACAAATTTACAACTGTTTTTCAGACTGAAAATTAATTTGGTAAAACGTTTTTGACATCACTGTATATGGTTTAAAAGGGTGGTTTTGGCTTTGTAAAACATACTTTTTAAATGTTTGAATTTGTTCACTATTTGCTCTTTGACTTGTTGCATGGTTTAGTTCTTTTAATATAATTGTTGATTAGGAGCCTGTTTGCTTGTATCTCTCTCTCTATCGTCTCTCTATATTTCACTATTGTCTCAGTTCAAGAATCACTCACTGTACATTTGGTATGTACAGGTATCTACATTGAGATAATCTGTAAATCTGATTATCATTTTTTTCAATTCTGTGCATACTAATCACTTAATTTACATAATGAAGTTTGAGTTCATTTTATAAAACTTCAAAGATAGTTTCAATTCTTAAAGGAAGGAAGCTGTATACTTAAGATAATTAGGATTATCAAAAGAATGGGTTAACTTTCCAAAGTATTGATCCCAGTCATGACAAATTAGCGGAAGATGTGTTGGTGTGAGTGTCTCCCAACCCGATCGCTAGAGCGCATTAGGTTCCAATTGATATTCCAGAAATGTTTGGGTAGCACTTGTGGGTGATTGAATTTGTGACTGACTTTGTTCCCATACAAACTCTGACTGATTTGCATTCTCATTAAAAGCATTTGTGCAACTGCAAACTTTCAAGGCTTGGAATTTTTATGAATTGACTGAAGCATGGATGATCCCTGAGAGGTGTTGTTTGACTTGTAAGTAGATTGCCATCACTTTTGTAGCTATATGGTCTTCTGATTTGATTCAGTGCCTGACTTCTTATTTCCATAAGTACCCTCATTTTTACTACTACTATTGATTACCAGATTGGTTAGAATCGTAGAGTTTAGAACATTGTTACATATTCATTGTTCAGCTGATGAGTCTAGCTTGTCACCCCGGAAGTCAGTCCAGGAGAATGCAATCAGAGCGGTCATACACTACAAAATCACACAACAGTTTTCATGTCAAACACTGCTTGGTGTCAGTGTTGTACAAATGAAGTCAGTGTGTTAGAATGACCATTTAATTCTAGGCACTGAGCTTCAGTGATACTGTTTTCCATAGATTGTAGAAATATCGCTTTGAATGCTGCTTAGATGTGATTCAACATGATGTACTTCTTATAACACACTCTCTCAAAGCTGGCAATGGGGAGTGTGTCAAATGATACTGAAACTCTGGCCTACTCGTGCAAGACCCCCCTAGCTCATAAAATCCACCAATTCTGGTTCAGATGATAGAATGCTTAGTTGTGTTTGTCGGTGTATTATGGAATACGATCTGAAGCGATGCTGCCTTTCAATGGAGCTTGTGTTTTCGGTGGTCAATCTAGTAGCCTCTGGTTTAGAAACAGTTCAAATGTTACCTGCCACAATGTGCTGCTACAATTACACAGTCAGGAACTTCCATTGAACAGCAGAATGTTCTGTCTGGGTGTCTGTGCTACCTCCAAGGCATCTGTCCTGTGGTGTCAGAGACCTTGGCTAGTCATCATCACAAAATAGCAGACTTTCCGACTTCACAAACAGGGTAAAACATTCTCCATGCCTCCACTTGCTACTGTTGAAAACTCAGTGTTTGGATAAGATCTGGGTCCAGACGGATCTTGGTCCAACTTAGAAACTGGTTGCTATACAAAATTAGTCAGTATGCTTCTGGCGTCAGACATGCTCCCCTGAATCCCATCACATCACAAAACTGCTGAATTTTGTTCAAGACTTGTGAAAAGATGGATGTCTATTGCTTCTTATTTAATTCCTTCTTGGTGACCAACCCTCATAAATAGCACAATCAGTCCCTGTGGTTCAGCTTCATCTGCCAACTCCACACACCTCCCATTAATTTGTAATTACTCTGTAATTCATGAAATTTAACCTAAACACTTTTGTAGTAAACTGCTTCCTGGTTTAAGTTGAGATTTGTAAATTTCAAGAGTTTCACTTGTTGGATTTGGATGACAGAATGTATAATGGATAAATTACTGTAAGGAGCTCATTTGCATGTTTAATGATTTTGAGAGCAACTTCCTCACTGGGGAACTGTGAAAGATGAGGTTTGTTTTATAGATCACTCTGCTTTTTTTCCACGTCCATGACATATCTCAGCTTACTTAACAAGCTTGTTTACATTTTTAACTTTAGTTTTTCCAATATCTGCTGAAGTATTTGCATATTTAAATTGATATCTACAATTTACATGAAACATGGCATTTCTGAAGATTTTTGTGCAATGTTATTTAATATTCACATTTGAATGTTTAATTAGTTACTTACGCCTCACTACATTCAGCACACGGGAGTGCTTTCATTTGTTTTGTTTTCCTGTACTGTTCATGAAATATAACACAAATTAACACATGGGTAACTGGTACCGTAGGATTTCTTTGAACTTTTCAAAACAATTGGACATGGGATGATGAACCTACTTCCGTATACAAATGTATAATGATTGAAATGCATAGCGCTAATTTGCATAATTAATATTTATACCACAGAATTCCGTGTATTTTTTGATAAGCATAAACACTTCTAATACCACCATTTTACCAAAATTATACCTATTATGCGAAACTTTGGAATCTATGCAAATGATATTCTAAACATTAGTCAATTTCTAGGTTTTGTATACCAATGAGATTAGAATATTTTTTTACAGTATAAATGTTACTTTGAAGCTGGAAAGAAAGCAAATTTTAATCAAAAATTAACAAATGTGCTTTCACAATTTTATTTATCTGTGTAGTATAACTTTAGATTGGGTTGGGATGTGTGAGGGATTTGTGGGAAGGGAATGGAGGACTGGGATTTGGGTATGTGTGATATGACTGCATTAATAACTAACCAATTTTCAACTGTTTTTAAAATCTTACTTTGTGATTTTTAGATGTGTATTTATTTAAAGGTGCATTTTTTTAACATTGGTGCTACTTGGGAAATCTTGCTATTTCTAATTTTGTGTTGACTGGCATGTCACCTCAGCTAATCCAGTCAAAATGATGTTAGAGTTAGCTAAATTAAAGGTAATCAACAGTAATGTAAATACATGCAGCTACTAATAAGTGTTTTACGGTAATCTTCTACAGTTCTTGTTATTTTTTTTATTTTATTTTTCAGTCGCGAAGTTTATTTTATTTTTATTTTTTACTTGGCCAAAGCAATTCTCCCGGGAGACGCCATATTATATTGTCATGCTATGCAAAGTCGAGCAATCAGCTTTAATCGAATTTGTTTGCACCATTATTAGGGTTGTCAAAAAAACTTCAAGACCAAGTCAATTGGCTGGTTAGTAAATGAAGCTTATTGAAAACTCGGGCTGAAGAACAGGAAATGAAATCTGTCTGAAAACACGCACAGGCAACACTGCTGCGTCTTGTTTTTTTTTAAATTGTTGCTAAAAGCAGTGTCAATAATGTTGCAATCTAAACCAACACATTGGCGATGCTTGCGGCACGCACTATAGTAACCCTGTGGTTGCGAGAAAAATTGATTTTTCCTCGCTCTTTAAAACGTCGTCAGGAAATGAAAGTAAAATATGTTATAAAGAAAAGTGACGAAGCGGTGTTCTTACATAATATTAACTCCAAGAATGTTTGAATGTGGCTGGCACAATCAATGGCCTCATATCGTGGATACTAAAGTTTCTATTGGTTTCTGAAAAAAACGGAAACTCTGTCTTCCTGTTCGAAAACAGTTGATTGTGATGTATTTGTGGGAACAAGAATTACTCCATGAATGGTTTGGGGAGCTGATAGGATTCCACAAAATACAAATACTAGCTGCGGTCGGTCGTTCGCTGTGCAACTGCTTGATCGTGTTATGGCTCCCCTCCCCCCTTCTAAACGGACCCAGACGCCGCTCTTACTCTTTCTGTGACTTTTAAATAGCTAAGTGCAAAAGGTTCTCTGAACTGTTTCTGAAGCGGAAAAAAAATATAGGAATATCATTCAAATCGCGGTGACTCCTCATAGACGACCTGTTTTGACAGAGAAGAATAAGCCAGTTTTCCTATTTTGCTAATTTGTTCCGTCCATTCAGCCCCGGCATATCAAACATAATACCTGTTATTTACGGACCTCATATATAACATAATTGGCTGACATGTCAGCAGAGAGAAAGAGAAATCAAATTAGCTTATTATACCGTAGACTGTTGTATGTATGCAATAATCGGATGGAGTTCATTTCATTTACAAGCTACTAGCTCATCCATGGCATTGTACTATATTTCAAATGAAATAAAACGTCGCATGAAATATACATGTATCTGTTCTGTACGTAGTCTATTTCGTGGTGAAAGTCGGGTTCCAGCTGCCATGCACGTGTGTTCCAGTTAGGCGCAATATTGACGGAAATCCATTTACGATTTTCATGATGTAACTTGGCTTTTGTTGTGTGCTACTTTTTCCCCACAACACAGGGGTTGGGAATCGATATTCAACATATATAATACCACGCCTCCTCTCACCTGCGCGGTTAAAGGCCAGTGATACGCTTCGTCATATTTACATCGCCGTATTGGTGCATGTTTCAAGCCCAGGCATATATTTTTCTTTTTAGCGGGTTTCGCCCCGTTGCCCAAAAGCCGGCACCGCTAACATCTGCCTACACCAATTCCGGTTTTAGCCTTAATCGAAGTCAATGCGTGTACCGAGGTGTGTGTTATAGCATGTGCAGTATAGTAAGGCTATATTGTCTGTGGTTATACAAAACTAAAAATGATCTTTG